TGTCTCTTTGTCCGTCTGTCTGCCTCTCTCCTCTGTTTTTTGTTGTTTTTCTCCCTTTTCTTTCCTACACACAGCAGCTCCCTTTCTAGCAAGCCTTCTGTATTGCTAATCAGTGTTTTATGAATGCCATAGTCTGTGAGCAGGACTGTCTCTTCCTCATGTGAATGTATGTGTGTGCATGTGAATTCCTATGTGAGTGTGAGGAGATGGATGCACGTCAGTCAGTCAGACCTGCATCCCCCTGGAGTGTGATTAATAGAGCCAGCTGTGGAAACCAGACTGTCACACACACACACACACACACACACACACACACACACACACACACACACACACACACACATACACACACATCGTGAATGCTCTTCCCTTCAGAAAAGTCACATTTTCTTCTCACTGTGTCCCTGTCATTTCTCTGCCAGGAATGAGCTGCTGCTTATGAGAGGCCATCTCCAACTGTAGATCCCACCAATAGCTCACACACACACAACCATCCCCACCTCCCTTTACGTGTGATGGGCTCTCTATTCTCTTCATGGTATCTCTGCATCTGTATTCTCCCTGCCTTTTATTATCCCTATATCTCCTCCTCTCTCTTCTCCTTTTTCTCACTCTCTTCTTCTGTTTTATTATCTTTCCTGCTGTCTCTCTTTTTCTCTGTTTTTCTGTCCCCTTCAGGCTAACTCTCAGACCTCCATCAGGAGCAAACAAGGCTCCTTGACATTCAATTTCCTGCTTGCCACGCACTTGTCTATTGTATGTGCTTCTCCTCCTTTTCTAGGACTCTTTTTGTGTGAGTTGAATAGGTGGATGGATGTGCTTTTGGACGAATAGGCGGGCAGATGGACGGCTGGGGATGGATGGGGAGGGATGGTTTTTTTGTGGGGTTTTGGGTGTCAGCCTCCCTGAAGCTTTAACAGCAAGGTCACTTTGTGGGGATTTTCGGCCTTTTTCATGAAAACAGTATACTGAGTATTCAGGAGCTGTCAGCAATTAGACTCACAAGTCAGTCTTAAGGCGGAGATCTCTGATTGTCTGATGGCGAGACTAGTCAGCAATGAAAACAGAGAACCAAGATTATCCTTAGGTTTTTTTTTCTCCTTATCTCTGATCAGATAGTGATAATTGTACAGAATTTAAAAACAAACAAACAATGAAACAGTGTAATATATCAACATCTTGAGATTTAATTTTGTATTAAACTGTCCCCTGTATGACACAATGGTATTTGAGGCAAACTTAAAAAAAACACTTTAAATTGATTGGGGACATTATATAAACACACAAGTATATATTAAAGAATACTGTTCATAATGTGACATCTTTACATTGACACTATCATAATTACATACTAGATGTTTTGTGTTATTATAATGTTAATAATATTAATGTAGTTACATTATCAGGAAAGAAAATACAGCAGAAATAAAGCACATTATCCAGCAATATTTTACTGGAGGCTTATTACTTTTTTGACAGACTGACATTTTGACAGATTTTTAATCATTTAACAGTTATAATTAATGTTCCTGTACAGTCGTGGCTACAGTCATATGCTCCTTAACAAGCCTACTTAATCAGCCACATTAGAGTAGTACTGGTTACACTCATTTGAAACATTTTAAAGCTACAGTTCCTAACTTTTAGAAAAAAACAACAACTTTTTGCCATGTTTGCTTCAACTATCACTGTATACATATGGAAGTACATGTACATGAGACAGATGATCATTTTCCTCTGCCTCTTCAAATTGCTTCTTTGAACTAAAACAAGCAATCAGAGCTGAAGAGTCTCTAATGCAGCTGTCAGTCATGTCAATTGCTGCTTGTGAACTGCGGTCAAACTGTAGGGAGCACTGATCAAATATGAACCAAAATTCTGTTTTGCATTGCCAATTTCTTGCCTCAGATGTTTTCAGAAACATATTTAAGTGTACTGTAGCTGTAAAATGGGAAAGTTGGTTTGATTAGTGGGTGGTGCTTCGTTTGACTGTGTCCAGCATGACAGCTGGGTTACAAACTTCCTCATTTTACAGCAAACGCCATAAAAAGGACTAGCATGAGGAGGAGGGACATGACACACTATCTATCCCATATGATACCGTGTATAACTGTGTGTATGTAGTGACAGTTTAAGCAAATATGACAAAGTTATTTTCATAAAAGTTACCAACTATAGCGTTAATGATCACCTTAACGCTCCTCAATGAAGAAATGCAGGATGATTTAAAAGTACCATTGGATTGTTTTATGGCTGTCAAATATTTCAAGTTTATCTCACATTACGAAAAGTTACTTTCTTCAATTTGATATGTCAAATATATGGGTGTAACGATCCATCGATCTGGAACGATATATGGATTAAATGATTAACGATCCAGTGTCATCGATGCAAAGTGTAAACACTGATCTATATCGTCATCTTTAGGATACGCTTTTGTTGGCGTCAAAAAGCAGCAGGCAGATGACAAACAGCCAAGAGAAAGATGATGAGGATAATTATATTTACTCTGGAATAAATCAGAAGTGTGGAAATATTTTGGATTTCGGGGAAAATGAACATCAACAGACAGAGCACATGGCGTGTGATAAAACACATCTCATTCTGCTAACTCCTGACTACAGCAACATTAGCTGCTCTGTTTTAACAATGTTTGGCTGAAAAAACATGCATGCAGGTTAAAATTCAACCATACTGTTGTGTTAGGAGATACAGTGACTTAAACCAACAGTGAGTGACAAAAATAATAATGTTACATCTAATTTGTTAAGTCATGAGTAGAGGAAAAAAGTAAAAAAAAAAAAAAAGGCTGATTTATGCAATGTAAACATGCTTAAGCTAATAATGGGTGACTAACAAAAAAAAAAATTGTTTTGTCTCTGAACCTTGACAGTTAATACTGAGCTCAATTTGATTCTCTTGTGAAACAATGTAGTTGTTAATCCATGTTTTATAGCTGCTATAGCTGGGAAGAGTTTGCCTTCAGGGCTTTAAGCCAGATAGCCCTGAAGTTTTAGGAAACATGATGGTTTGGGTTAAGATGAAAAGATTTGTTCCAGAAAGGGCTTTTTGTCAGGAAGCTCTGAAGGGTAACTTATCCAATGTGCTGTTTTATGTCTGTTAGTGTAGTCACTGTAATGTAAACTTTACTGCACTTAAGTGGTTACAGTAATCTACATTATTTATGTGTTGTTTTTATCTTTTATGGCCAAAAGCATAAAAGAAAGGGGTGGCAGCTTCTTTTGTAAGTGACTGTGTTAAATGGGCTGATAATAATGTTTCATATCGATCGCAGACCCCTAAATCGCATCCAATCGAAATCATATCATGGCAGAATTTGTAGTATCGTCAAATATCATATCATTGTCAGAAGACTCAATAAAATATTGTATTGTGATGAAACTGGTGATTTACACTCCTAGTCAAATACTTACTTAATAACTTACTGCCCTTTATTCCTACTGGTCTGTGGAGCAGCAGCAAAGATTCTCCATTCCTTGTCTTTTTAGGGCAAACTTTTGAGAAGTACCCAGGGAGAGTTGTTAGACATGATTTCCAGTTTTATATTTTTTTCATTTGTAAAACATCATCCGCATTGATTCAGTGCTTTCACTGTACTGCAAACACAAGTTTGGCTTGAATTTGAACACTGTAAATTGATATTTCTAAACCTGATCAGTTTTACATTAATATCCATACCTTATTTATAAAGACAGAAATGACAAGGTAAAAGTGTCAGCTGGGTGACTAATAGCAGCAAGTCACTGTCAGCAGTGTACACCAGACTGATTTATATTGTGATTATGTAATGATACTTGCCTATATTAATATAGAAAATATAATAGAAATATAGTGTAGTAAAACAGTATCAGTATAATATAGCTCTGTATAACACAGCATGGGATATAAGATGAAGTATAAAGTGAAATGTAGTACAGTATAGTATAGTATGAATAAATGTTGAATAACATTTAGCAAAATATAGCATTTAATATATAGTGCTCACTTGTCCTCTCCTCTAACGTTGCTCAGAACACAGTTGTGCAACTTTTACAATATTTACAATGAACCGGAGTCTTTTCAACTCAGACAGTTATTGTTTGAATAAGAGTTTTATGTCCATTCAAGAAATAGAGGCACTCCAACAGACCATCTTCTACATTGTTACTACATAAATATCTTCAGGAACCTTGAGTACAACCCTGCGCATTTCAGTGTACTATCAATGCTAACCATGGAGGACCACTCTAGAATTTCTTTCACCAGAAATTACTGTAATGCTTTTACCTGTAACTAACTTACCACATAATTAAATAATTAACTAACTGTTTTCCAAGCAGGGCCGTGGGTAACTCACTGGTATTTGATTAGATGGCACAGCAAGCAGGTGAAAAACTGCAAGTCAGTCAACCCAGGCTGTCGGAAATTACTTAGTAATTAGTGTGGGTGTGTGAGAATGTGTGTGTCTGTTTCTGCTCATGAGCCTTCGTGTGTGTGTGTGTGTGTGTGTGTGTGTTTGCGGTGAGTCCTGTTGAGAGATAAATGAGTCTGGTTGACATTGTCTGGAACAGGTGGTGAAGTCAGCAGGGAAGACATACAGACAACCCCTCATGCACACACACACATCACACACGCACGCTCACACACACACACATACAATTTGACTTCAATGCCGATTTTCCGGCTTGTTTGAAAGCATGGCCGATCAGATTGGATGAAGAGGGAAGAATACGTTGTCTTTGAATAGCCTGCATATTGAGTGTGTGATGTATTGATTACAGAGGCAGAGAACCCACGTTAATCATTCACAGCATGTTTTATTACCTGATTTATTTTCTTTTCATGAGCAATGCATGCTATTTATTTGCCTCTTTGTAAACCAGTGAGTGGGTTAAAGGAGCAGCTCACTCTAAAATTAAAACCTTGTGTGTGTTATATGTGTGTGTGTAGACCAGGTAAAGAAGCAAATTGAATTTTACATTTACTTGTGTGTTTTTTAGGTGAGTGTGGTGCAGGACTCTGTGAACATCTCAGGCCAGAACACAATGAACATGGTTAAGGTTCCCGACTGCAGGCTGGCCGAGGAGCTTGGAGATCTGTGGGAAAACTCGAGATTCACTGACTGCTCCCTGTGTGTCGCCGGGCAGAAATTCCAGGTGCACAAAGCCATCCTGGCAGGTGAGAATATCCTCTTCAATTCATTGCATCTGGAAAAAAGTGATGGATAAAAACCTATAGTTTGCACTCAGGCGGTAAAAACTTTGTGGAGTCAGGCAGAGGTGTTCTACTTCCAATTTTATGATGTCTATGAGAAGAGAATACCAATGATCAAGTTCAGCAGATGATGTATATAGGAGAACATTAAAGATTTTCATCATTCAAGTCTAAATTCTTAAAGATGGAGCTGCACACAGACTACCACACAGACAATTATGTCATAAACATACATGAATATTGGTGTTTATATGCATTTTATACATCAGAGTTAGACTGGTATATTGTAATATGTTAGACTAAACATAAACCTTTAATATAGCAGCAAACAACTATTTGCTATGTAAAGTTATACATACTCCATTTATATTGGAGTAGTGGTGTCCTGATCAGAGAATGAAGTATGGCTACATCTGTGTGTGTTGTAACTCAAGCTTCTCTGTCTGATGTTGTGGTAGCCAGTCCAGCCCTGCATACGTGTTAGTGCATGTGAGTCCCTGTGTGTGTATCCCACTGGCTAGCTGAGTGCCACCAACAGTTACTGCTGCTAATGTCGACCGCACCCACTTTGGGGGAACTGAAACATAATGCCCACCCTCAGGTTCCCCCTTAGTTAACACTGTTGGCTCTGTAAGCACTGTAAGATGCTAGCTGCTAGCTGCTGGCTCAGCTGTCTCCATTTTGAGAGCCATGTACAGACAATCCCAGCTGAGACGCTGAATCAAAGTGCTGTTGTGAAAATATTGAGTTACTGATACATATCAGGCAGCACGGTGGAGTAGTGGTAAGCACTGTCACCTCACAGCAAGAAGGTTCCTGGTTCAATCCTGCGAGGGGGTCCTTCTGTATAGAGTTTGCATGTTCTCCCCATGTCAGCGTGGGTTTTCTCCAGGTACTCCGGCTTCCTCCTACAGTCCAAAGACATGCAGGTTATCTGGTGACTCTAAATTGCCCGTAGGTGTGTGTGAGTGTGAATGGTTGTCTGTCTGTGTGTGTCAGCCCTATGGTAGTCTGATGACTTTTCCAGGGTGTACCTTGCCTCTCACCCAATGTCAGCTGGGATAGGCTCCAGCCCCCCCTCGACCCTCAAGAGGATAAGCGGTTACGAAAATGGATGGATGATACATATCAATTCTGAGTGTTTGAAATGGTTTCAACACACATATTTTTGCAGTATCGATAGTATATATTTAACTTTATTAATCCCCAAGGGGAAACTGGTTTGCCACCGTAGACAAAGACGTACACAATATGTCAACAAAGACAAAGACACAATATTCACAATACGTCATTTACACAATAGATAACACCAGGCAGAGTCATTGATGGGAAGTATGCCGACAATAACAGCGTCAGTAATTGCAACATACACTTAATAAATACTGTAGCTAGTAAAACAAAGGCATTGCATCAGTATTCTTCATTAAAACTTCCTAACTGCTGCAGGAACAAATCATGTCCTGAACCTTTCAGTGAAGCATTTTGGCACCAGGAGTCAGATGCTCCTGCCACAGTATTGGTGCCACAGCACGAGCTGCGCTTTCTCACTCTCTCTTATTATTGTGTTTTAATGTTTACTGCAGTCATTCTGTTGTCCTCTGCTGCTAATAAGGAAAAGAGAAGCTGTCATGTTATAGCCTTGTTCAATTTATCTCTTTGTGAAAATGTAAATTTTATGCCCTCAATGTCAGTTTTTCCCACTTGTATAGAAAATGGTGTTGAATATCAATATTTTTCAAGGTATTGTAGGGAAGTCAGAAATTCCAGTATCTAGTATCACTAAGTAATTGATATTCTCTGGATGTCAGGTACAGCTCATTGAACTTTAGTCATTTTCATTGTTTATTATTTTGTCATTCTTTTTTAGATGATTGATCAAACCTTTTGTTTATAAAATGTCAGAAAACAGTACAAACTGAAACTCATAATTTCCGAAAAAGTCTTTAGATTGCTGGTTTTGTGCCAAACCCAATTGTATAAAGCTAATAAGAGCAGCGAATTCTCGAATTTGAGAAGCTAGAACCAGCAAATGTTAAGACTTAAGGTAATAAGTTATCAAAATTGGTGTTTGTGGATTGACTAATAGTTTTAAGATTAGATACCTTCCAAACTAATATATGTGGTGAAGTTAATGTTTGTCATTACCCAGGGTTTCACTTCAGAGTTTTGGATTCGGTCTAAATGCTGCTTCAGATGCTTCTCCACTGTGACAGGAATTAAATTCCGGGGGAAATACTTCATCAAATTTTTAATTTTAATGAATAATTTTTGTTTGCCACAGGGATGGTTACATTTGAATACATTGAATATCCATACAAACTATACAAGGCTCCAAAGCTTACTGGCACTTCTAGTACCTGTCTGCCTTCATAGAGTCCTCACACAGACCACACCCTGTTATGTTCACGCTCACACAAACACACATGGCGTGCGGTGAACCACTTGTTGGCACTTTAATGACAGACAGCGTCAGATAGTGAAAGGTTTGAGGAAACTGGTGAACTGTTTGTCTCTGTGGAGAGAAGGAGAGGCTGTTCATTATTGGATTTGTTGAAATGTGTGTGTGAGGAGCCATTTTAATTATGTGCTGCTGTGGTTTGGGGTCTTCCCCTCTCTCTCTCTCTCTCCGTCTCTCCCTCTTCTCCTCTCCCTCTCTCTCTCTCTCTCTGCTCTACTTGGTCCAGATGACGTCCCTCCTCCTCGTTATTCCCCCTCTCGGCCGTTCCCGTGACAACTCTCCCGGCCGTTAATCGCCGTGGAGACGGACAGAGGGGGATCAAACGAAGGAGGGAGAGCAACTCAAATTGACTCCACATTGGCCATGTGATCTTTAAACCACCACTCTGGTCCTCTCTCTGTGTCTCTTACCTTCTCTTTCTTTTCTGTTTCTACATCCTTCTTACCTTTCCTCAATATTCCCTCTTTCACTTTCATGTTTGTCCTTTTCATGCTCTCTCTTGCCTCTTTCTCTCCTCACTGTTGCCCTCCTCCTTTCATCGTTCCTCTCTCCTGCCTCTCTTGCTCTCTTTTTTGTGTTCACATCCCTTCATTGTTTGTCTTCCTTTCAGTCTCCTTTATCTTTTTCTCTCCTCTCAAATCTCGCTCAGTTCCCTTTACTCCCCGTTTCTGTCTACTCTCCTCTCCCCCTGACTTCCCCTCTCCTCTCCCGCCGTTCACTTTCTATGACTCTCTCTCTTTTTCTCTCTCTCCGTCTCTCTCTCGCCCGCCCCTTCTCTTTGTTGCTGCAGTATGAGCTCACCAGTATTGAGCTGCACCAGACAGACTTACTGTAGGTTTGTCCCCATAGTCCTACCTGCCCATGCACTGTTTCAGTGGTCCAGAATGCAGTTGTTAATACATGACTTTTCTAAGTTGCTGACTTAGGAGACAAAAAGATTGGCAGCAACATGTTCCTGTCTCTGACATAGAGTCTGACTCTTGCAAAATATAATTGTAGGCAACTGCAAAGACTTAGCACTTCTAGATATCATATAACCTGGATGACTGAGACAAACAAAGTCCCTTTTTAGTTCTAAAGTCATGTAGATTTATTTCCAAGCACAGCAGCATTTCAACGGCTGGTATTGTTTTCACTTTATGAGTTTGTGTGTGTGTGTGTCATCATGTCAAATGTGGTCCTGATGGCACCTATTGTAGCGGGAACTACCACAGAAGCCGTTCTGAGTATTTTGCCAGGTGTTTTTATGTCTGTCCGTACACAGATAATGTCACTGCTGTAGATTGCAACTGTGCAAGATGCAGCCACAAACCTTGACGTGTGTAGTTGATATCACAATAGAGGCCAAGTTCGAAGATTGTCGAGCAAAGGGACTGGAAGTAGGAGGGTAGGAAGTAGGGAAGGGGCCATTGCACCCCCCACTTGATGCCCCCAGCCCATGTTCTTTTTATGTCACAGATCGCTGTGTTGTGATCCCATCGCAGGATGGTTTGTCGCATTTTTCAAAGGCAAAATTTTGGAGAAGTTTGTTTTTTCATCAACTGTCTTAAACCTTAAATTGTTTGGCCAGCTTTCCTCGCCTCTTGTGTAAACAAAACAAATTAGCTCTGAAGAAATAGCAGAGAAGTATATGAAAGTGGTTTTTTTTTTACTTCTGTTTCACTGATGCCTGAAACAACCATGAGAGTCAAATAGTTAGTTATAATATAGATGTGACTTTTAAGCTTCTTCAACTTTAATCTTTCCACTGCTTCATTAGCCTGCTCCCCATGACCCTGACTGGAAAAAAAATGATTTTGAAGCAAGCTCTGTCACATCTATGATTGGATTTTTAAAGTTAAAAAAGAGAATTAGGATTTTTCCTACCCAGAAATACCTTGACAATGTAATAGATTTACTTGAAAACATAAATGAAAACAGCTTGTTTTGTTTCTTAAAATTAAAGGAAGAGTCCACCCTGAAATCAAAAGTACATATTTCATCTTACCTGTACCTAGTAGGGGTGGGGACAAATCAATGCAGCATAGTATCTCAATATTTTGCGTGCTGATACAGGGACACCAAGGGCCAATCCCAATTCTCTTCCCTTAACCTTACCCCTTGGTTTCAAGTGCACTTGCCAGATAGATTCCCCTCAGCGACGAAGGGGTAGTGTTGAGGGGTAGGGAATTTTACCTACAAATTGGGACGCCCCTTCATGCAAATTAGTGTAACAGACGTGTTCAGCTACATCACGTGTATCTTCGACGTAGGCTTCTTGCACAGAGAACTCTGTAGATGTTCATGTCGGCTACATCGTGAATTAGCGATTTTCAAGCATACGTATTCTAACTAAATGCTTACAGATAACAATGCATATGCAGAAACATGACACATTCCGACATAATTTGTAATTTTTGCATGCTTATTTGAGAAAATAGTACTTACAATTGTGCGATGGCTTTCTCATGTAGGCTGCCATCTTCCTGGAAAACTCGCCTGGCTGCATAGTTTCACAATGCATCCTGGGAAATTCAGTATTCTCCTCAGTTGAGATGGGTTCGTAAGTGTGCATCACACAGTCCTTCAAAGTAAGTGGGGATTTTCAGGGCTGAAAAGCACTTCCCTAAAGTTTGGGACACCCTAGCCCTTCGTGGGAACGCACAAAAACAAGGGCTAGGGCCAATTTTGGGGAAGTGTGAGTATTAATCTTTTATTATATACATTTTTCATTTTTGCAAATACACATTTTAATACAACTTTTGGTACAAGAATAATATAATCAATTGCTTTTTTGGTCCACAAGATGATGCTGAGGTCAGCAGAGATCTCAGTCAGTGGCATTGGGCAGGAAATTCATCAAAACAAAGATGGTGGCACCAGAGAAAGAAATCAGAAATGCGCCGTCTGCATTTAAATTAAACATCTGGATTTATTTTGGATTTAACACGGAAAGAAAGAAGGACTTAGATATGGCACATGCAGTTTGTAAGCAGTGTCATATGAGAATAAAATACTCTGGGAATACTACAAATATAAAGGCTCACTTCAGACTCCACCATCCAGAGATAGCGTTAGCTGCTGACAGTCAAGCAAACCCTTAAACCTCTGAGCTGAAAAATCAACCAACACTGGACACACTTAGCTTGACATAACTACCATCCAACTCTGAGAGAAGATAACACAGCCCATCACCTACATCACATGCAATGATCTGCGGGCATACAGCGTTGTTGAATACAAAGGCCTTTGTTACATGTTAAAAACACTGTAACCCTGATATGTGACTTTGTCCCACCATTTTTTCACCGACACAGCCATGCCCAAGCTCTCCAGAAAAACGCAGCATAAAGTTAAGGAATCTTTTGAGTACAGCAGGAAGGGTGACATTAACTTGTGACGCCTGGACTTCAGAGTCAGTGGATTCATTTGTATCTAATACAGCACATTATCTCACAGAAGACTGGCGACTGCTATCTCACGTTCGCCAAACTAGAGCAGTACACAAAAGTCACACCAGAGCAAACATTGCAGACCTTCTACAAAATGCAGCACAAGAATAGGGAATTGCCAACAAAACCCTTGGCGTTGTAAGAGACAACGCTTCTATCATGGGTGTTGTCATTCCGTTAGCGAGATACCTGTATGGGAAGTGTTTTGCTCACACACTTAATCTGGCCTCGCAGAGGGCGTTAAATCAGCCAGCAGTTCAGCTTGTCAGGTGTATGCAGCATTTCTGACAGGTTTTATGATGGTGTTGGTTAGTCTCGCTGCTTTGCATCACATTTTGCTACAATAAAAATGATTCAAGTCAGATGAACAGACTGAAAACTTTATCTTGTGAGGTAGAGCTGATATTGACAAAGTTTTCCTTTGGGGAAATAATCGCAGTATATTTTGTTGTAAATACTCAGCATATCGTGATACATTTAATATTACAAAAACATTGTATCGTGACTGAAATATATTGATAATATGGTATCGTGGGTCTTCTGGTGATTCCCAACCCTAGTACCTACATGAAACTGCTCTGTGATTATCTTCAGCACCATAAGCTGAGTGCCATCTAGTTTCATTATATCCAAGAGAAGCCAGATATTCCTACGGCAGATATCTCCAACACTCAGCAACTCACACCAAAACAACCTGGACTGATAAAGAGCACGACAGGCAAGAGTAAAAATATGTATTTTTGATTTTAGGGGTGAACTGTCCCTTTAAGGTTGTGTGATTACCAGGAGGTTTTGTTTCTCAGTTTTGAAAGCTGAATCCTGAGCGGTCTGATGTTTGTTGAGCTGATGATTTGAGTTGCTACTGAAGCAGCAGGTGCTGACCTTAGGTCCCATTGTGAACTTATTCATTACATGTTTTACTGATATCATCAGTATCATACTTATTTGTGGCTTGTGCAGAGTTGATGGATGGCACCACGTTTCCAAATGAGTAATTAAATGGGTAGCTAGCTCAGAGGTTGATAACTCATTATTAAGTGGTTAAATTAATTAGCATATCACTGACTTTGACACACACTCAATAATGTGTTGAAACATTTGTTAAATTTTAATGACTAGTTAATTAAGCATTCATTAGTGAACAGTAATGTAAAGAGTTACCCAGTGAGCACATAATCAAACAAAGTGAACCATATAAGAGGACGACTCCAGTTGATATGTCACTGTTAGTAAAAGGCGTAGAGGCTAAAGGTCTGTCCTTAATAGACACTTTTCTCTCTCCGCTGTTAAACAATCTAACAATAATTGAGTTCAGACGCCGACTCTGTCTGCGAGGTTCAGCCTGTGCCAAAACTAACCCATGTCACGGCTGTGATGGTAAGAGAGAGAAAATACAGTGTCGTCGCCTTGAGCAGAACTGCAGAGACAAGATGTGGTGATTATTTTAAGCATGCAGAATTATCATACAGCAGTGATTTCGAGTAACAGAAGTGGGACTGATTTATGTAATTTGAAGTGCTGTGGTTGGATCAGACTGTTAGCGCTGCCAGTCTGTGCTGAAGATTAAACATAACCCCCTCCAGCTGGGGTCGTGTCTGGAGTAGTAAGAGAGAAAACACACTGTTCAGCAAGTTATTGGTCACCTCACCTGTTTAGTGATGAACACACAAACACCAAAATCATCCATGTGTCCTTTTCTATATAAATAGCTCAAGTACTATGAGGTCACAAGGTTCTGTTATTTAACTGTTTTTAAAAAGTATGGCAAAATCTGATTTAAGAAAAAAGATAGAAAGAAAAAGATAAGTATATTATGAAATCTGGTTGAAAACTGGATTATGAAAATAGCATTTTCATTGCAAACAGTCTGTTTAACCATTTTCTTTTACTTTGAGGGACTTAATCAGCAGCTCTTTTGCATTTTGTCTCCACTTTAATGGAAGTATAGTCTGAACTGTCCTTGCCACAAGAGGATTTGTAGACTGTGCATAACAGTGTCCTCTTACAGCAAGAGACGGAGCAAATTTTGGATTTGACATAAAAGCTGGGAAAAAAAACAACTTAAAACATCTCTGCTCCTTTTAAAAACTTTATGTATTTTTTATTATTTAAATAAGCCTTAGCCAGTCCTCTATGCTAGCATGGTAGAATAGTCTGTGCTGAGCGGCAGCAGGCGACCACGTTATCAAAACAGGAAGACAGACCTTAATTAAAGCATATTGTATCAAACAAGCTTCATTGAAGTCAGTCTATCAGTGTTAGAATGTGGCTAAACACACCTGAGAGGTCGTCATGAGTCTGTCAGCAGGACGGAGCTGCAGTCGACTTTTTCCACACGATGCTTCTACTGCTGTCACTGCTGCCAATCATCCGCCTCGCTCTCTTCTGGCCCTGTGGCAGGCTGTTAACGGATATCAGAGACCCCAACATGCATCAACATTACACACAATAACAAACCTTCCTCTCTCTCTCTCTCTGTCTGTCTTGTGTTTCTCTGTCTGTCTCAGCTCGCTCGCCGGTGTTCAGTGCCATGTTTGAGCACGAGATGGAAGAGAGTAAGAAGGTGAGTCGAGCACTTGACTCTCTTGTTCCTGCTCCCTCGGTGGTGAGCCGAATGTCTAAATTCTAATCTTTCTCTCCGTTGCGTCAGGAAGTGTTCACCTCTCAAAACATCCAAGTGTGTCTGCACATGTTCCTTCATGTCTTCTCAACTGCATCTCTATTATCTGGTGCCTTTAAAGCCAACATGTGAAGAATTTTTATGTGACTGTAGCACCTTTGAAATGATTCTGGAGGCCTGTGATTTTGGTTGTAGACAAAATGAGACAATAGCAGTGAAACAACAGTCTGTTGCTCTCAGCACAATCATCCAAGTATTTCGAGGATGGAATTGTGGCAGGAGGAGGGTGTTGGTGGTCTGCCATGGTTTTTTTCCTTTGGACCAAAGTTGGACATTTTCAGAGCTTCCAACTACTGCATATTTGAGGCTGATACAAATATCAGTAATTAAGAGTTGAAAATCTGAACAAATCAAACAAGATATTGCACAATATTTGTTTTTGAATGTTAGAACATAATATAAATATGTCTGACATGTATCACTTAAATGTAGTTATTCAACAGTTGTGACCATGATATACGCAGCTGCACATTTTACACTGAAAATAAACTTGTCAGTGCTCTCAGGTGCACATACTGTGTTGGGCACCATTGTTCTATGTTACATTTAATATATTTTGTTACATCACTATCCACTACTCATCATTATTGCAGAGTCTTGTTAACGCACATGATTTTGCCAAGTAGGACATGCGCCTGGATCAACATCCCACCATTGCATTCCAGGATCAACATTGCAATCAACCAATCACAGCCCTTTGACATCATCAGTGTGCTGCTCTTGTCCTTCTTTCAAAATTCCTTTGTGCTTCTTCACAGCTAAGGTAATTTTCTAAATTGAAGTTAGTACAATCAAACAAAATCCTCAGTCACATTGAACAAAATACTTGTAAGCTGCTGCAGGGTTAGCAAGTCAGCTTGCTAACTAGGTTGGCTATGCTAATGAGAAAACTTGCTGATAGACTGGAATATAACTTAAGCAAGTCAACTTGCTAACTAGGTTGGCTATCCTAACAAGTAAGCTTGCTGATAGACCAGAATATTAGCGCGTTAACTTGATAACTAGGTATGCTATGCTAATGAACAAATTTGCTGATAGACTAGAATATAAGCAAGTTAGCTTGCTAACTAGGTATGCTGTGCTAACAAGTAAGCTTGCTGATAAACTAGAATATTAGCGAGTTAGCTTGCTTACTAGGTATGCTATGCTAACAAGTAGGATTGCTGATAGACTAGAATATTAGCAAGTTAGCTTGCTAACTAGGTATGCTAACAAGTAAGCTTGCTGATAGACTAGAATATTAGCGAGTTAACTTGCTAACTAGGTATGCTATGCTAATGAGCAAATTTGCTGATAGACTCAAATATTAGCAAGTCAACTTGCTAACTAGGTAGGCTATGCTAATGAGCAAATTTGCTGATAGACTACAATATGAGCGAGTTAGCTTGCTAACTAGGTTGGCTATCCTAACAAGTAAGCTTGCTGATAGACCAGAATATTAGCGCGTTAACTTGATAACTAGGTAGGCTATGCTAATGAACAAATTTGCTGATAGACTAGAATATAAGCAAGTTAGCTTGCTAACTAGGTATGCTGTGCTAACAAGTAAGCTTGCTGATAAACTAGAATATTAGTGAGTTAGCTTGCTTACTAGGTATGCTATGCTAACAAGTAGGATTGCGATAGACTAGAATATTAGCAAGTTAGCTTGCTAACTAGGTATGCTATGCTAACAAGTAAGCTTGCTGATAGACTAGAATATTAGCGAGTTAACTTGCTAACTAGGTATGCTATGCTAATGAGCAAATTTGCTGATAGACTCAAATATTAGCAAGTCAACTTGCTAACTAGGTAGGCTATGCTAATGAGCAAATTTGCTGATAGACTACAATATGACCGAGTTAGCTTGCTGACTAGGTATGCTATGCTAACAAGTAAGCTTGCTGATAGACTAGAATATTAAAAAGTTGGCTTGCTAACTAGGTATGCTATGCTAACAAGTAAGCTTGCTGATAAACTAGAATATTAGCGAGTTAACTTGCTAACTAGGTATGCTATGCTAACAAGTAAGCTTGCAAATAGGCTAAAATATTGTTCATTGACATAAAGACCTCTAGTTTCGCAGACCGGCAAGGCAGAGGCGCAGCGCACCTGCGCTTTACCAACTGGGTGTGGCCAGGCAGATTTTGCAAGTTTGGCACACCGTGCGCGCTGGCGCAGCTACTCCTCTTTCCCACCTCCATCCCTCCTACCTGTGCAAGTTGGAAAGAGGGAGGAGAGAAGGCTTGGAGTGGGTTTTACACACATCACACCAATCAAATGAGCCCCTCTCCTCGCCCTTAAACGTGCTGCGCGAAGGCGTAATGAGAGTTTACTCAATTCGCCATGGCAGAAGGGAGCAGCAGCGTCAGACAGCCAAACTCCTCCCAGGAGGAAATTGATGTTTTGGTCCGGGAGGTCCAAGCTCACAGTGTCCGAATATACGGAACTGCGAGAGGACCTCCACAGGCTGATGATGCAAAGGTAGCCTGGGAGGACGTCACCACAATTGTAAGTCAATTTTGCATTTCTCTCGTGCGCGCGCTCTCTCTCTTTCTCTCTCGCAGTCTCACTCTGTTTCTTTTCTTTTGACTTTTCTAAGATGACAGATGCTGAATATATACTCCCTATCTGATGCTGTGGCTGTTTGTGGTTGGCTGAGAGGGATGTGAACTCATTAGTTTGCAGCTGTGTTAATCAAATCAGGTTGGGTTTCCATTACGCGTGCCAAACGGTGCCAGTCCCCTTTGATCTGACATCAGATGTGACGGGACAGTCAATATAGAGTAGGGCTGTCAACGAATATTCTATATTTGAATTTAAATTTGAATTTGAAAAAAAAAAATGTACCTTTGAATGTGAAAATTGATATTTGAATGTGGAGGGAAAAAAAACACCGCAGCTGTCCTCTTTGCGAGTGGGCGTTGGCATCAGATGCGCATTTCTCCACGCTGGTCAACAAGCGGTTCTGCTCCCAGCTGTTGTCTCTGTCACCCGGCTTGACACATTTGCTCGCTGCTCGCGCAGAAAATAGACCAGACGCCAAAACAATCACTGCAGGGCGCGAGCCGGTCACGGTCCGGCGCTTTGAGGCTATTCGCAGGGCTTCTGCGGGCGGTGTGGCCACGGGTCAGAGAGGGGGGACGAGCGAGAGGTCTGCGGTCGTTTATAATGTAATGTTATAGATAATTGTTTTATGTGTTTTAATGTGTAGGTATGTAAATGTTTTCAAAGACGTTTATGTTGAAATAAATAAATAAATAAATAATAAATTCCTTGTATTAATACATATACAAGTATGTTTCCTTGTATTAGTTTGCCCTCTTGTGGACATAATGCGAAAAATTTTTTTTTGAATGGTTCGAACCTATGAGTTATTTTTAGAAGGAATATTCAAACGTCATTTTTGAGCAATTTTGACAGCCCTAATATAGAGATACATTTATGTGCTGATTGCAGATAGTTGCATTGAATAGTGGTTTTTTGGGTATTTATTGCATTGTTAATGTGCCTGACATTCTGGAAACCTGCCTGTGAGGTTTTGGTGACATGTGCGCACTGTCCGCCAGTCAGCCAAACTTCCACTTACACCGGCTGCGCTCCGCCTGCGCTGACAGTAGACCTGGTTTCAGCTGGCAAGCTTTTAGTGCACCTTCAGCAAAGCCTTTTGGCACAAAACTGTCACTGCGCCAAGCTGGATCTGTCGACACCTCCCCCTGCTGCACCGCCACACCCATCTCAGCGCACCGCGGTCTGCCAAACTACAAAACTGAGCGCGCCTCAGGTTGCGCTGCACGAAACTAGCTCTGCACGGGGTTTGTAACCCTGCGCCACACCGGGAAACTAGAGGCCAAAGAGTAAAGATAATGTTATTTTGCAGTTGCAAAGACCTGGACACATTTTCTGTCCTTTTTAATAGCCTAGTAAAAACTGTTTTTTTTTTTTTTTCAAGATTGCCATGTTGATCCAGGACCATCACTGCCATGTTGACCCTGGATAATTTGTTTGTTGATCCAGGGACATCATTGCCATGTTGAGCCTGAGTAGAATCGCTGATGTTAATCCAGGACCATCACTGCTGTGTTGATGCCGACTTAAACAAATAATCCAGAATCAGTGTGATGATGATGATGATGATGATGATGGTCCCGGATAAGCCTCAAGGCCAAAACACACCGGCGGCGTCATATGACGGCGGCGTCATTGACACGAGTCAAGTGCCGCCCCCAACACACACAAAAAGTGTCGCGTTGCGGGACATCTCGGATTTCTATTGCACACTCCATTATCTTTATAATGACGTGATTTTGGGTTGTATATTTCCGGATATTTCTTTACCTCAACAATCAATCTCTCCTCATCCATTGCTACTTTTAACCAATGATGCTCAAATTAACAACCAATAACAATGACAGTAAAACAAACGATAGATGGTGCCAAAGTTCTTCTTCTCTGCTGTTCAACAGAGCTGCTACTACGGGAGCTGGGAAGTACAAAATAGCGCTTTTTCAAGGGCGGCGACGCTGGAAAAATAGGACAATAGCGTAAAGTGCCGCGGTGCAGCACGTCGACGCTGCTGGTGTGGGTTTGTAAATAGAAAATAATGGGGGCGGCTGTTTTGACACGCGTCGTACGGCGCCAGTGTGTTTTGGCCTTAACCAAATCTATGCAGGATCAACATGAAATAAATGAGGTAAAATGTGGTAATTGCAGGAATTTGCAACTGAAAAATGATATCATCCTTACTCTTTGTTACTGAACAATATTCTAGCCCATTGGCAAGCTTACTTGTTAGCATAGCCTACCTACTAAGCAAGCTAACTAAGCAGCTTCTACCTATTAGGCAGCACATTGATGGCTGTGATTGGTTGATTGGATTGTTGGTCCAGGAATGCGATGTGGGATGTTGATTCAGGGGGATGTTCTGTGTGGCACAATCCCATTGTGCACTGGGTCTCACTCAGCATTTAGAGCAATAGATTTTTGTTGTAGAGTCAAACTTTGGGGACGCATGTTTGTGCCACTAATAGCAGGATTCCTTGACATTGCTGACCTTTAAGAGATGGAGGATCCAAAATCTCGGAAGCAATCGTAGCTTATGAGCTGTGTTGCATCATCCGCTTTTCCAGGAGTTGTTTGCACTCAGTTATAAGTCATAAAAATTTAAGGTTACAAATGCGTCTTATAAAAACATACTTTTTATGTATTTCAAAAAGTATGTTTTTAAATAAGCAAAACATTTCAGAATGTACATGTAGAAATTTAAACTTAAGTAAAAGCCACCAAAATATTTTGTCTCCATGCAGCAGTTAATTTACACCGTTATGTCAAGCTAAATACAGAACTGTATGCAAACCATTTCATCCACTGTGTGTGCTTTACTTACAGTTGTTCACTGTTATTATCATGGTGTGTTCAGAGGCGAAACACCTTCATTAGAATACCTTGTTTCTGCCTACAGTAACATGCTCATTTATAAATATGCTGATTTCAGGTTGCTGAATTTTTTAACCTTGAAGTTCAGTATACTGCAGCATTAAAATATTTTCTTAACAACTTATGTAAAGCTCTCTGAAACCTGTGTTTTTATAAAACCTCTGCAAGTTAATGGCCTGAGTGCAGCTGATATTGTGAGTGTGGTAAATAGAGGGTTATTTATTTTATTCTCTTATATTTCATATATTTTATCTTTAGATTTCATGTATTTGTACTAGAGTGTAAATGTAAGTCTTTCAGCACTGCATGCAATGTGTTCATCTTTTTTTTAATGTGCCCTCTGTGGTGTATGTGCTCATATGTGTGCATCTTGTGTGTGTGTGTTTGCCCTCGCGTGCCACAGTTGGTTGTGTTCATCTGGTAGGAGGTGGTGAGATTGAACCTTGGTGATTTAGCCGTCATGTCAGCGGAATATTGATGCCTGCACGGCTCGGATGGGGAAATTATAAAGCACAGAGCCAGGAAATGCATCTTAATTGCTGTTTAAGTGGGCGTCTTCATCAGAAAGAGGGAGAGCTGGTGGGCCACGTCCCCATACGATTCAGAGAAAACAGATAGATGGGTTAACACTCCTCTGCAGCACTCTATATGGAAGAGACAAATGAGCTCATAAAGAAGCACTCTAATAGAGGACTGCTCTGTGAATAGAGGGCAGCTTCAGACACTGTAACTACAGGAGCGTCGTCTATTTATGAGACACTGTTGAAAGCTCGCCTTCGCAATACTGAAGGAAGCCCTGTTAGGTTTTCTCATGTGACTTCCAACATGGTGCTATTTTGCCGTTTTTATTTCATTAACACTCCAACACACTCTAATTAGTCAAGTTTTCATCTCCGATATGTCAGACCTCCTCCTTATTGCAGGCTGTGATGAGAAATGTTATTTTTTCAAGCAAGAGGCAAATTTAGAAACAATATGCAGATTTTGACATGCATTATGTAGCGAGTTGAAGATTCATGCTGCATGTGTGTGCTCACATGCCTTTGTGTATGTATGTGTTTTATTGGTATTCCTGTTAAAGGGCGCTCCATGCTGTAAGCTCGACCTGGCTCCTTTCAGACTCTCCCACCATTATTTCTTGGTGTGTTTATGTTGCTGTTGAGTGGTCAAAGTTGACACAAATGCACTAAGCTGTTGGTACACCCAGCCTGACCCCGCTAAAACGCCGCTGGTCACCGCGGTGACGATAAAGCACTGTTATAATTGGTTTACTGCTTTGTTCTGCCTCTCAGTGCGGAGGGAAAGGTTCAGGTTACCGTCACTGTGCCAGCGAGTGATAAAGCCTACTTTGCTGGCTGCAGGCACTGTCAAGGAATGAACGCTCAGGATTAATTTTCAGGAATCAGCTGAAAAGAATAAAATAATGTACTAGAATGTAGTTTTGCTGAAACGTGTTCAGACTGTTCAGAAGGTTCTTCAAGTTTCTTTTTTTTTTTATTTCTTCTTATTTGCCACTTGGAGCTTGTTTTGTATCGCTGCATGGCTGTCCCTGTGTGTGTGCTAAACAAGGTGAGGGAGTTTAATTCAGGTAGGTTTTTGGATATTCACATAAAATAAAAAACACTCTGCCACTGCGCATGGGTTTTGAAGGATTGTCAAAGCATCTGTCTTTTTCTTCTCTTGCCTTTTATTCCCTTAAACCCTGTGTGTATTCTCCTCTCCTGTCCTCTCCTCCCGTTCAGAACCGTGTGGAGATAAATGACGTGGAGCCAGATGTCTTCAAAGAGATGATGTGCTTCATCTACACAGGCAAGGCCCCCAACCTGGACAAGATGGCTGATGACCTGCTGGCTGCAGCTGACAAGGTACAGAGTATGTGTGTGTGTGTGTGTGTGTGTGTGTGTGTGTGTGCGTGTGCACCTGTTACTATGTACATTTATATAGACGCCAGTGTGCATAACAATAATCTCCAAAAATAACAACCAAATGCTCCTCAACCGCTGAACACAAACACACTTTTGTAAGGAAATATAATCCAGTGTACCTGTGGGAGATATACAGATGCACATACTTACAGTGAATCCTATTCCTCATTGTTTGCTCTGATTGTGCTGACCCTGTATACTCAAGGTTTCCTGTCTATTTGTCCTTACTCACATTGTATTCCCCCACTCCTCTTTTTCTTCCAGTTTTGCTGTTTTTCATTTTTCTGAGAGCGTATTGCATTTTCTTTATTATTAATAGTATCGAGCTGCTCATTGCAGAACTTGATTTGTATTTTTCCATCTTTTAATGACTCACAACAGGCTCGTCCCTGCGTGTTTTAACTACAGCAGCCAATTATACACCATTAAGGAGGCCTGTTAGACCTATGATAGAGGCGTGTCTTAAGGGATGGCGATGTTGGTCCACCACTGTAGTACAGACTAAAAATACCTCAGTAACTATGGGATGGATTGCCATGAAATTTTGTGCAGACATTAATGGTCCCAGAGTATTAGGCCTACTGACCTTTCTTCTAGTGCCACCAAGAGGTTAGCTTCTTTGCTTTTTGGTGAGATATCTCAACATCTACATGATGGATTGGCACATTTTATTACAGAAATTCGTGGTTCCCGGAGGATGCAACCTAATGATTTTTTTTTTTTTTTGAGTGAAATGTTTGGATAAACTCTGTTACACACATTCATGCCCCCCACAGTATGAATGGTAACAACCCTGGTTATCCCTTAACTCTTTTATGCTATTGTTTGGATAGTCTCTATATACAGACTCTACATTCAGTGAATGTAGAGTCTTTAGGCAAACCCCGGAGATCTTGCCTCCAGAAGAAGAGCGGAAGAGCCCTGGTTTCCGGTTGTAGGCTGTTTGTAGTCCGCGTGATATTGACCAATCACGTTTGAGCCAGCGCAAATACATTTCAGACAAAATACCACCTGTGAATCACCTTTTTTGCGGGTGCCCGACCCAATGCAGGACCCAAGCAAACCTTACACCTGCTAAACATCAGCATGTTAACGTTGTTGTTGTGAACATGCTAGCTTGGTTTATTTATATGCTTGCAGCATTAATCTTATCAAAATGGTTTAAAAGATTCAAGAACAACCAACAATCTTCCACATAATAAATCAGTCACTGATTTGAAAGTTGGCAGCTTGTCTCAGGAGCGAAATATTGATACTTCATCACCTCTCTTACAGCCGTCACGCTTTAATGACAAGTGCAAAATTGCAGCTCCAAATAACTGCTTTCTTTTCAACCAATATTTCGAGTTTGGTGGCACTTTGTTTTGCGCACTAGATGTGAGACGTGTCTCAAACATTCTAGCACAAGTGTTATTTAGTGGAAGTTCATTTAAATTAACTCCTTTGCATCATTAGTGTTAATAAATACTCGCTGAAGTGTAGTCTCTGCTGAACCACCATGACTCATCCTGAAGTGTGGATGAATATGAGACAAGATTATTGTTCCTATTGTAATCAAACTCAGTGGAAATTATTTTTTACTTTTCAAGTGATCCCCTTTCCCACCATCGCTCCCCCAGCATTCTACATAAGTGTCACTTTTGCTTCTCTTCACCATATTTTTTTCTTATCCAATCTAAGTCTCGTCGCCGCTGTGGTGGAGTAATTCTGTATTTCCGTATCATTACACAGTGCAACAACAGTTGTTTGTGGCAGCGCTGTTTAAGTAATTTAGTTTACCTGCTGTTTCTCCTCTCTCTCTTGCTCTCCCTGTCATTGGCAGTATGCTCTGGAGAGGCTGAAGGTGATGTGCGAGGATGCTCTGTGCACGAGTCTTAGCGTGGAGAACGCCGCAGAGATCCTCATCCTCGCCGATCTGCACAGCGCCGACCAGCTCAAGACTCAGGCCGTGGACTTCATCAACTAGTGAGTTACACGCGTGCGCTGACATCATTCATCTTAAGAGCTACTTCCACACTTATGCAAACATTTTTTTCCCCCGTTTCACACACACACACTTATACACTTAGCTTTTCGTCAAAGGAAGTCATTAATTTTCAGTGGGAGCAATTTTTGTCTCCAGAGGAAATTTAATTTAATCCCCCGATCAGACCATTTTGCTGCCGTATCATATTGGGCCATTTAGCAATAAAGCTCAGCTGCTGATGTTAATCACGTTGCAGGCAGCCTGTTTAGGTAAAATGGGGCCTATTAGCATCAATGACTGCTATTTATGTCCATGGAGAGGTGATTGATCCAGTATTTGAATGCCCAGTTGAAACAAAAAGCTTCCTCACAGTCACTACCTTAATTCATCACCTTCTCTCTGTTTTCTGAATCCTCTATCTCCAAGCCAGACATATTTTCCATCCCTTTGTTCACTCCTCTGTCCTCTCTTTACGGCTTTACTCCATCTCCTGGCCTTGTTCCTGCATCTCCCTCCCTCTTCCATTCACTCCCGTCTTCCCTCCCCTCTCCTCCCCCTCCTGTTCTGTGCTTAAGAGCTCATGTATGCCTAAAGGTGTTCAGTAATGCAGATTTCTGCCCTTAATCCCAGTCATTAATTGTGGTTACGGGCGTTATGACAGTTTAATTTGCCACCGCGTTGTTGTGGTGGTGGGAAAATTGGCCACGGGGGACTCCTGGCCAGCAAAGCGTTATCAACCCTCCTCCTGCGGACATAATGGACAGCAACAAGAGCAACAAAACAAAAATCAATTTAGAGGACGAATATAGAAAACAGGCGACACAGAGGAACCAATAATCCTCCCCCCAGTAGCACCTCGACCTCTTTTCAGACCAGTCTTTACAAGCAGCTTACAGTCATTTAGTCCAGACAATAGGTGTCGTCTTTATCCTACCTCTGTCTCATTTATTCATCCTCCCCAGGGATGTAGCGGAGAGTAAAGCCACCCAGACACTCTTTATCCACTTTGTTTAGAGCAAAGAATGTACCCACTTTTTTTAAGCCCAACATGAATCTTCAGGCCAAAGTGAATTCATAGGATAAATCACAGTAAGTAGTGCAAACGCAACGTGAGTAATATGAAGTGAGGGTTTTTTAAGGCAGAAAAAGATAGTGCTTTTCTGAAAGTAGTTTTTGTTGATAGTGGTGGTGGTTTGCCTTATGATTACCACTGACTGGAGGTCATAGTTTGGCCCTTTTTTTTAATTTACCATCACATCACTGCTCCTCTGCCTCCCTCAGTCCCTCCTGTCCTTGTCTGCAGACTTTCATTACTCTCCCTCACCTCCCTGTTTTTTATTTATTTCTTCTTCGGTCGCTGCGGCTGCCTTACTCTCTCCTCCCTCGGTCCATCCCTCCTCCTTCCTGCCGCTTCCTCCTGCTGTGACTGCTCTCTTCGTGCCCTCCGCTGGCCTATTGCCTCAGCCTCAGCACACTAGCCATTACTGTAAGCAGGGGTTCAGCTCCTCCACAGAGGATAGGGTCAGAGGTTGGCTGGAGGTCTGGAGCTGCTGTGTGGGCAGCATATGACCACACATACACACACACACACACTGAAAGTGCCAAGAGTAGCCATGCCAAGACACAAACACATGTGACCTCGCACACACACATGCTGTTGTTTATTTACGCACAACAAAACATGAAAAATGTCATTAAAGGCCACACAGCGGTGTGCGTGATAGTGCAGCACAGCACCCTGAGGGCGTCAGGAGGTTGAGGACCGCCACAGGGTCCGCTGCTGGAAACTCACATCTGTGGGTGATGATGACCACAAGTAAAACTCATCAGCAATTAAATACACAGTTCATCCCAAATTGTTTCGGCTTTCTGGGTTCCATCAGTTAATTATTGCTGAAGCTCTAAATTTGCACAACCACAGGGAAATCCAAAGAAATTAAAACTTCTTAAAAAGTACCAGTAAGTGTTAACGGCAAACACAAACAAAAGACAAATTAGGAATGAGTAATTAATGTGAGTAGTTCCTCCTTAATAATCAGCGCTGTGCTTTCTGTTCCTGCACCACCTTATATACTTGATATAAGCTGACAGCTGGTCGCATTATATTTATAACTAAAGCAGAAAAAAACAGTGTTCTGCATTCAAAGCAGTATTTTAATGTTGTAAAAAAAATTCAATATATCCCACTTTAATGCAGTGGAGTATAACTGCATGCACACTGCATAAACTCATGCCCAACTGGTGCCCATCTTACAATTCCCCGCCCCCTTCTCATCCAGCTCCACACGAGCGAGTTTTATTTATGGAAAAGCGACAGTACAAAACCATTTCCTTCATTTTTTACACAGTCAACTGGAAACGGCTGATTCACACAAACAGTATTACTATAACTAAGACATTTGCTAAAAAACTTACTTTTATGCCTCCATGCCAGCTATAGCCATGGTTAGAGGCAACGCGATATCTAAAGAACCTCGCAAGGGAAATTTTGCACAGATGTCCACTTGGACTCAACGATAAACTGATTCACTTTTGGTGGTCACAGGTCAAAGGTCAGTGTGACCTTATATCTGTCTCATTCTCGAGAACATAATATTTCAAGAAGGCCCAAATGGAACTTCCTTAAATTTGGCACAAACGTCCACTTGGATTCATGCATGAACTGATTAGATTTTGGGGGTCATAGGTCAAAGATCAATGTGACCTCACATCTGTCTCATTCTCGAGAACATAATGTTTCAAGAAGGCCTTAATGGAATTTCCTTAAATTTGGCACACACATGCACTCGGATTCATGAATGAACTGATTAGATTTTGGTGGTCATAGGTCAGAGGTCAACATGACCTCACATCTGTGTCATTCTCAACAACATAATATTTCAAGAAGGCCCAAATGGGATTTCCTTAAATTTGGCACAAACGTCCACTTGGACTTATTAATGAACTGAATAGAATTTGGTGATCAAAGGTCACTGTGACCTCACAAAACATGCTTTTGGCCATACCTCAAGAGTTCATTTGTGAATTATGACAACATTTCATACAAATATCTAATAGGATAAAATGAAATTTTATACCCAAAAGGTCAAAGGTCAACTTCACAGTGACCTCATGAAGTTCTGTAGAAATACTTTTCTGGCCATTATTCAACGTCATGACTCAGAAGGGGAGACATTTGGCGTGCAGAGCCACACCACTGTGAGGCATTAATTCTAGTTTTACACGTCTTCCTGTGAGCACTGTTCAAATTTTTGAATTGTCACATCCTCTTGCCACACTGTTAGGTTAGTCCACATTGCAGGTATCCCAGCATGCTTTGTGCAGCAAATCAGTCACTTCCCATACAAAATGAATAGGAGCGAATCGCTGGTTGCGTAGAGTAGGTCTACCCAACCTGGAGTTGCAAAATAAATCTGAGGGGCTGTGAAGTAATAAGCTATGTAGAATAGATTTAAAAAATAATAATAATAATTTGATACACAAAATTATGTTTATCTTTTCTCACTTTTCTCACACTTTTTTTGTGGAATGGTGTGAAATGCTGTAGAGCTTTACCTCCCCTGAACTCTAAAGACTTAAGTATTAAAATGATGTGATGTGATATGACAGACTTTCTCATCGAGTGCCTGCATATTTATGATCGTTGCCTTTTATTTGTGTGATGTTACTTCTCTCACAAAATGACCTGTGGGGTTAAATATTTAAAAATATAAAGTAAATAACAGCTCTGCCAGCTGGTATGACAAATCCTTAATGTCTCAGAGCTGCACTCCACACAGATGGAGTCATAGAATCCCAAGCTTTCGAGAAACTTATTTGTGCACTTGTCCATTTTGTTTCTTTCCTTAAACATTTTCCACACTTTCCTCCACTCTCTTTGCCTTCTTTGTCTCTCAGTCATGCAGCTGATGTGATGGAGACATCGAGCTGGAAGTCCATGGTGACCTCTCACCCACACCTGGTGGCAGAGGCCTATCACTGCCTGGCCTCCACTCAGTGCCCCTTCCTGGGTCCCCCGAGAAAACGACTCAAACAGTCCTAGTGGTACAGAGAGACTTTCCTGTCCTACCCCTGCTGTGTTCTCTTGTACCAGCAACCTCACTGCTCTTCTCCCACAGCATCGACAGATGCTCTGAACGACTGAAGCCCAGGACTGGGATAGATACGGTTAGGGGAAACTGCTCAGCTGGACTGACCAGAGAATCACAGGGCTGACGCCACAGAGGTACTACACATCTCTGAAGGTGGTGGGGGTGAATTCTGTAAGATCTAAACCTGGATATTTATGGATCGCAAGCTCAAAGCCTCACATATACCATGTGTCCTTTGCCTACAATATTGGAAAGCCAGAACCATAATCTGTCAGTCAGTCACGTAAAGATTTGATCTTCTGGCTCCAAAGGAAAAGTCAATGCTGAGTCCCTGTAAATACAATACTGTGGCGTATTGTCTCAAGTCCTAAAGCCCAAACTGTGCTGTACTATGAGAAGACAAGTGAAGAGGATCAACCAACCAGAAAGTGAAAGACTATTGCTCACATTCTTGATTATTTAAACAGTGTTTTGTACTAAGTATTGTTTTTATGGAGCACAAACAATTCTCGGTTTGAATGAAAGAAAACAAATATGAACACGTTTTAATGTTTGTTCAGCCTGTGCCTTAAGCCGGGCAGACACTGTGTGGAACAGTCGCCCTCGACTTATTTTAGAATCGGGACGGATTTCTGCCAGATCGGTTTCTCATTTGACGTGCAGTGTGTGTGAATGTGCGTGTGTGTGTGTGTGTGTGTGTGTGTGTGTGGGGGGGGGGGGGGGTCACGATGCCAGATTAATTGCCTGAACAATCAACGATCTGGTTGTCGGGCTATTTGGATTTCTGGCATGTCAGAAATTTTGGGTCGGCTGTCTTGCAGTTTGAGCAGTCCGATTTCCCACATGGCTGCTGTCAAACTATCCGTTATGAACTGTACTGAGCTTGTTTTAATATTATTAGAGAAGTGACATGTTGTGGCTGAAACTGTCGTCGTGACTGAGACTGAGCTGTGAAAGAGAAAACTGAACTTCACTGCAGAACAAACAAAACATATTGTCTCCATCCTCCAGCCATCTGAGGCTCTGCGTTTTTCTTTTTTCCTTCTTACTGTCTGTTAAAATTAAGATTGCACAAAGTAAAATGGTTAAACGATTAATAAAAATGCACAGTGTCTGCCCAGCAAATATATATATATATATACATTCCCTTTGACTGGACCTATGAAATACAGATGTTATGAATTTTGTACAGTGTGTCTGTGTCTTTCATCCTTGATAACTTCATTATTTCTCATTATGCAGCCTGGACACATCCACCAGTTACAGACTCATTAATGCACAGTGTCTTTCAACTTGCTGCCTGATCAGTGTGTGTGAGTAACACATTTCAGTTTCAAGCTTAATCCTGTCGTGATCAAAGTTCAATCCCCAGTGCACACGCTGCTCACCTCAGCTGATCACAAGGACTCATATCCAGCTGTTTCGTGTGTAGACTCGGCTTTCGTTCATGGTCACAGGCCTCTTTGACTTGGTCTCCGTGGCCTTGCTTAGAGAGCAGTTAGGTTATAATCACTTCAGAGAGAGCTGGACCTTTCTCTCGGACAGTATCTTAACAGGGATTTCTTTGTGTTGACCAAAGTCGATGCCCAGAGGGCTTTAAGGAAGCTCATCCCTGAGCCCTGCAAATCGCTCCTCATCAAACAGTCAGCCCTGGCCGGCGATCTTTTGGGAGACTCTGGCGCTCATCAAACAGAGGGAAGGCCATTATTTGTGATACAGACAGTAGACTGAAGCTCCATGACAGACCACATATTAGTAGGACTGATGGTTCAATTCTGTCATTTATATTTGCTGAGCTGCATCATATTTTGGAGATATGGTGATGGAGGTGTGCTTGACAGTTCAATGTAACATCATTTTTAAAAAAATACATATGCATAGATAATTTTTTAGGGCATTTTATGACTTAAGTAGAGAATCAACAGTAGTGAGATGACAGGAAAGGCAACACATTCTCACTCCGACCTCGTCACATATTGACGTTTTGGTCATGGAATTTCAACGTCCACATACAACGTGCAAGGTACCTTGTGTGCATTGGTTGTTGACGTTCTCGGACGCCGTGTCAATTTCTGACTGTTTACATGCATTGTCTTCTTTCAAGATACACCTCTGTTTTCACAGGAAATAAACGCACAAAGTCGATTTTGTTGGACCCATTCGAACTTTGGCCGCCTTAACTTTCGTCTCTGTCCAGCTGCTTTCCGCCAGGTGCCGTGAAACTATAACGGCAACCGGTCACATATCATGCCAATGTTAAAGGACGCCTTTTCCGTTGGTTTCTGACGCCACAAGGTACTGCAGAGTCGCCAGATTTCAACGACTTCGGAATGAGATCGGGCTCGGAAAAGAGGAGAGAGAGGGACATGGGAATGACTTGCAGCAAAGGTTCAGCCAGACCTGAACCTGGGACATTGTAATCATTTTGCAATTAATTTAATGAGGAATGTTTCATACTGCTGACCATAACTACAAAGTAATTTTCTATTTTGATTGCACATGTGATGAGACAACCAATACTAAACAGTGGAGCTGAGTTAAATATAAAAATTGATTATCTTGATAGGAGACTTTGATAAGAGGGTTGTGGTTATCAATATAATGTAACATGTGTCACATTAATCTGAGCATGTCATCACATCACATGACTGGTGATTGGCTCACACAAAATTTCAAGCATGTAAATATCACCTAAAGGAACATATACACAGTAAATTATGTAGCTATGTTATCAAGCTGACCCGTTCAGCTGCTCAAAGACTAAATTTGTGTTCATTCACACTGTGCTCTGTTTGTGAGTGTGTGTGATTTAATGAACTGCCAGATGGACCAAAGACTATTATCCATCTTTATGGACAATAGAGTGGTTTCTAAAATATTGTCACATTATAGTGCAGGGCCATATGACAGAAATCAGTATCACGCATACAGTATGTATTAGGCATGTGTATTCATATTGCTATATATCACAGTATGAAAAATATAGGCAAATTACACATCTAAACTGGTGCTTGGAACTACTGCACTGGACAACAACAACAACAACAATAATAACCTCCTATTATAATATAGTCCAGTACAAAACCACCTTTAATAATAAACATGTAATTGAATTCAAACATTTCCAACAATGTCAAAGAAAAACAGAACGTTACAAGCTTCATAAAGACATTTGTCATGGAAGAATAGTTGTGTTACATTTTATTGTATTAATTTGTACAGGTGTACTGTACATAATAAAGTAGCCATTATAGACTGTTTAAGTTAAGTTTTAGCTTATTCGCTCTGAAGTTTGCTGGTATTAGCTGGGATCATAGCTGAAGTTACAAATGTTTACTTCTGAAGTATTAAGAGACGTAGCTATTTCAAGGTGCACAAATGTGGGATTTAAATTTATAGCAGCTGTCGGAATTGACACAGTAAAAGAAATTGGGGTCTGTATGTAGTCAGAGTTGTCTTTTATTGAAATGTAATTATTGGCAAGATTTTTTTTATCAACAACCCCAAATCAAATAATAAAGTAATAATCCTCATATTTTAGTTTGGTTTCTTAATTTATAAGGTACTCAGGTATGTGAATATTTAATCTTAAATGATTAATCTTATTTCCATATATACAATTTGTATCTATTCTAACTCCTTATTTCGAAGTGGATTTAGTCACGTGTGTACCCTCGGCTGTTTTAATGTATTTACCATGAAGGTCAAAATACGGGGCTGATGACGGTGAGTGACTTGATGCAGAAACATCAGACGCTGCCTCTGGATCAGCAAGAAGTTCAGGAGGAGGATATTTGATCCAGCTTTGCTGACCAAAAAAAAAAAAGACTGCTGTCAAGCTAGCTGTCATTCACATCTTCTTGGTCAAACCAGTCGCCAAAGTTGGAGACAGACACAGGCAGAGCAGAGCAAAGTCTTGGCGACAAAAGCAGATGCAGTAACATCGCTACTTCTGGCCTGATGTAACTTTATGTTGGTCCTGGCTGGTCAATCCTTATTGGTAGATGCTGCAAACACATACAGACACACACCAATTATCACTCCCTCCTGGTGTTCCACATGATAGATGAAAAAAACAACAATGGGCATACATGCAAATTGCACAGCTGATCCTAGTTAGAAAATTAAGCAGCATGGCCTTCAAAAATGGAAAAATATAACTCAGTGGTTGCAGCGTGAAGCCCTGCATCCCCTCAGAAGAACAGTCGAGGGAGAACAATGTTTGATAGCTTAAACCACAGCAATGCCTGAATCCCTAAATAAGCCTTCCAGCCATGAATCTGAGTTGGAGAATTTCCCTGTAAAGGTCAAGGTGTGTGTGTCGGACTAAAAGATTGTGTGTGAACATGGCAGACATATGGCGCTCTATGAGTGGGCATGCATGTCAGCACAATGTGCTTTTTTGGGAATGTCCCTGAGATAGGAAGAGGCTTTGTTAACTGGAGTCGGGCCTGCCAGTGTGACCTTCCTCGTATGAGCTGGAATTTGAAGCATCAGGGTGTGATTTTTTTTCCAGCTTTGATAGTCAGCTTGTGTAGCTGCTTGCAGCCAACCTTCTGTGTCTTTGTAAAGATGTGTGTGTGTGTGTGTGGTGTGTATGGGTGTGAGTGTGCGCATGTGTATGTGTGTGTGTCTCCATTGGCCTTAGATGAGACCGTCAGGGGGAGATAGATGGAGCGATGCATGTGGAGAGGCGTACTCCGTTGTTATGCATGCTGTATGAGTCTGTCATTCCCTCCCCTCCTCCTCGCTCTGCCTCTTGTGCCTCTGCCTCGCCTCCCCATCATTCACTCCTCCTTTTATGGGAGGAAGGAGAGCAAGGCATGGCAGGTCAATGCTGTGAAAGCTTGTGACAAGCTCTGCGTCTGTGTCAGCCCGCCATCACTAAAGAGGAGGAAGAGCCGGGCCGAGATTGATGCCTGCTGGTCTGCACTGCCCAGCTGGAGGAGGAGGGAGGACAGCAGCGAGGAGAGAGGGAGGTGGAGAGTGTTGGGTGGGGGGTCAGGGGCTTGAAATTTACACCTCAACTATTTGTATGTCAAAGCCACCCACTTGTCAGCAACTCGAGCATCTCTATGAATATAAATATGGTTATAATTTCACTTGTGACTTTCTCACTTGTCCTCACAAGATGTCGGCAAGACAACCTCACTAACACTGTACCATTATCTTATTTTTCAATATTGTTTTTCTGGGCCAGATATATAGTTTTCTCTTCTTTGTTTGTCTTTTTATTTGATCTTGTGGGTGTCTTTTAGTATAAATCATCACAGACATAAGAATGTGGCGTGCAGTTTTCTGATGTTACAGAATTGAAGGTGGGGATATCAGCCTTCTGCAGTCCCCATCCCTATTTCAGAAACAGCATTTAGTATATATGACGTTTAAATGATCAATTTACCTGACGGGACCTCGTCACTTAATTGATGACTGATGTCTTGTTTCAAAAATCTTTACATTTTAAGCAATTATCAGTGTATTTCTTAATGAGGCATACTTAAAAGGGAGGTATAAGTTGCAGAAAAAATGTTTAAATGCTTTATAGATCATTAGTAAGACATTAATAAGGACAACTCTTGGGCTGCCAGGTTGTGAAAAATCTATTGGGCTTGTGTATATTAGCCAATGTAATTTGCTTTGTCTTTTTAACTGGCTTCTAAATTCTTCAGGAAGATTTTAATGAACAGTTTTACCA